ATTTTATCATAAAGGAGTAATTACAGATGTACACTTTGATTTTTTATTGCAAGCATTTCTTTTTACCTTCAATATTGTGATGATGCAATCGTCTGTCACAATCACTTTTGGATCAATCGCCAGTCTTATCAGCTTTGGGCTTCTTGGACTTAATAAAAAAGCAGCACGGTGACACTGAACTCAAGTTGTTGAGTGCATAGAGATCTATAGGCCATAAAACAAACATTTGTCATTAATTTGTTGAAAGAATCGACTTGATAACGATCTCAACATACAAAAAATCCAAACAACTATACAGGGTTTATACTTTCACTTTCAAATCAGTACGTAACAAAAGTCAAAACAAAAAAAAACCAAAGTAATGCCTTTAGCCTAACATGTAAATTATAATGTTTGCATCCATTCAGAAACAAATTTATCCAAAATTACTCACAGATCACTAAAATTATGCAGATTCACGAAATGAATTAATTTAACAATTACAGTACTTGGCCATAAGTGAGTCATAATTTTATTTTTCCACGATATATTTTATTGGAAAACACATTTTTCTAAAATATTCTTGCAGTGTCATTTATTGTTTCTTTTTAATGTCTAAAACACCATAAAATGCAGAATTTGTTGTAGTTTCTTCACATTATTTCAAAATAGTTTTATCTTTATGCAATACCGTGAAATCACAGGTCAAGTGCAAAACAAAAATTTTAAGACTTCAATTTGTTAAGAAATCATAGTAATTAGAAGTTAGAAAATTTTGTCATGACAATATTTTATGATTTATTCTCAATAGTTTAAGTATCATTTTGTTTATCATTTAAGATAAGAAAATTTGAATAATTCTGCTTGTTTCAGTGAAAAAATCATGAAAATTGAGCTAAAATTGACTTCACAACAAGTTTTTGTGAAAATAGGTTTTTCAATGAAATATATAGTGTAAAAATAAAATTATGACTCACTTATGGCCAGGTACTGTACACGTGCTGAGAGTATTACAGAGATTAGTTCATACGAACCTGTAACCGTAATGAAACGATATTTAAACAATATGAATTAAAGGTCTTTAAAAATTTGTTAGGAGATTACTTACTTTATCCAACACCCAGTACTTCTGCTGCAACAGTGACGTCAAACATGACGTACAGTTTGATCCGATATAAGTCAAAACCGGTCTGGGAAAAATACGGATTTTTTTTTATTTCACTCAAGTAATAAACCCAAACCCAAAAGATTTGAAATAAAAAGCAAATTAATTAATTCTTTATCAATTTTGTCTGGGATATGCATTATTACAGAAAAAGAAAATTGTGAAAGGTTTTTTTTTATAAGGGAAAAGTGGGGGGGGGGTTAAAACAGACTTAGAACTTAACATAAGTTTTTGCTAACAAATTCTTTTGAAATTGATGTAAATTTAAATTATTATTGAGATCTATATATTATTGAAATTGAAATTTTACTTGAGTATATCAAGGGCAAATTAGTAAATCACTGTCTCATATGATTCTCATATGATCACTGTCAAAATATTCATATGTTTTTACCTGTGTAAAAATAGGGCAAATTAGTAAATATGGTTTCATATGATTCTCATATGATCAGTTTCATATGATTCTCATATGACCAGTGCTAATATACATATGATTCTCATATGTAAGACCTTTCATATGAGAATCATATGTATATTACTTCATATGATTCACATATGTATGATCATATGATTCTCATATGATTGGCCACATATGATTCTCATATGATTGTATATACATGTGATTCTCATATGATCCACATATGATCTTCATATGAAAGGCAATGCATATGTGGATCATATGTGGCTAAATTGCCTATGTAGATTGCCGGATTAGTAGTATTTGTATGCGCAACAATATTGTATGAGCCAAGTACAGGTATAAGATTTTTAAAACGAGAAAGATTTAAGAAATGGACATGGTACGTCAATATGCTTAATTAACTATCATTTATGCACGAGTTCCTCTTACTTTTCTTTTTGGGCGGGGGGTGGGGGTGGTGGTGGCGGTAAATTGGTAAATTAGATAATTATGAGCAGGAGATACGATAATGATTTTTGTAACATCACTAAAAAAATATCGCCAAATAAAAAATCTACGTCCTATAAATTGCCATTTATAGCTCAGACCCTTTTATTATTAATATTGACAATCAATAGCGATTCGGCTTACCACTGCAATTATTGTTTTGTGTGGGATTTTTTTGGGGGTTTGGGGGGGGGGTGGGGGGGTCAAGGCAAGAGTTGCAGGTTCGTAAGAAGCAATTTTAGTTAGGGGCATAGATACTCGTAAATACTTTCAGTTTGGGGTATTATCAACATCCAAAAATTCATTACAGGCATAAAAAAGGAGGTGGTATCAGGGGTTTTTATTAAGGGGACACGAGCATATACATGTAGTAGTTATGTTTTCTTAGTATTAATACCCGTTTTCTATAGTATACTGTATGCTTTCTATAATATTCTACATATCGGAAAAGTGATGATAAGAAATGCCTTTTACGACATTTTGAAATGAAAACTGAAGTCCTTTAATTCAGGGATAGTCAAAATTAATTCATTCTATGAAGTACACGAATGTATATGTTTATACAATGTAGATCATAAAGCTACTTTAATTCAACTGCAATATTTCAAAATTAAAACCGGGTAAATTTTATTAATAGATAAAAATGTTGCAAAAGTACATATGTTTGAAAATGTTCTCAAATCCGGTAAGATGTTTTTTTTTCTTATATCCATGTACATTTGTCATAATATTTCTGCACCCTTAGCCTTACGTTTACTATTATTGAAAATCTAGAAATCACATGACAATGAAATAGTGCCACGCTGTTGGTAAATTATGGCAATGATAATATTGGAAAATTGAATTCACGGCCGATTGAATGCTTTATTTTGAGTGAATTGTTGATCAATTCAATTTTATTCGAGTCATACAGGCATACGAAAATAATGACGTCGTACCAACGTAATATAACACCGTGATGAAAATATAGTACTTCTGATTAAAAATTGTAAAACTTTAAAGTTTTTTGGCAAGAAATTGAGCGAGAACACATATTATTTTTTTTTAATAAATCGAATCTAAATTTACTTCACATTCATTGTGCCGAGTAATATAAAATTCGTCTGCTTCGTTTTAACGTTATAATTGTGGTTTTGAAATGCGTATACCGGCAGAAAACGGACATTTTACTATATATTTCATTGAAAAAGCGTAAATTGCTCTCATCAGCATTAGCGCATTTGAATTACAATTACAATTTAACCACGCAGACGAATCTCAAAAAAATTCAGAAAGAAAAATTCAAAACGAGAGGAGTTAACAGATAAATTTTTTCAGGCAGACAGTAAACCCGCGATCTACCTTAAACATCGCCGGTTGTCAACTTTATCAACTGAACAGTATTAAACAGTGTTTTTCAATAATAAATTCTTTTTTATTCCATTGACATAAAAGATTAGTCCACATTTAAGAAATAAATACACAAATGAATCTATTATTTTTAGTCAATTTTCCACCCTAAATTTGTCAATATTTTTTCAGAAGTTTTTGTCAGAATGTTTTCAATCTTTCATATGATGAAGAACATACCCAAATAATTTCAAAAAGTGAATAAAATATCTACCTTTCCTCTCAAACTAACGAGAAATAGGTTATTTACCATGGTACATTTCTTGGCCTTTTTGCTCTTACACAGGATTTAATTAAGAAATGATTTTTGGGGGTTACTTTCAGATTTACAATGTTAATATTTATCACAAATTGTATTTTTTCTATTTAAACTGGTCATATTTGATAGAAAATTTGTAATCAAACACCTACCATGTGAATTAAAAATAATTAATACATAATTAACAAATAACTATGAAAAGGCATGCATTCATGATAGACATCAAACAATTATACACACTATTCAACACATCTTTGATTCAAGAAACATTTATCAAGATATTAGTGATACTCTTTGGTGGGCAACTGAAGATTTAATTTTTAGGATTTTTGCATTCCCTCAAAATAGTTACATACCATTCACAAGTTATCACAATGTATAATTTCATAAAATGAGAATGGATTTGTCCAATTTAGGTCAAGATAGTAAATGAAAGGTGCCTACAGGTTCTCTAATTTGAGAAATGTAATAAGTCATTTAGCTTTATAATTAAAAATGTATAAATTGATTATAGGCATTAAGAGTATTTTAGCATGATTTTAAAATAAATTCCATGAATTCAAATTGCTTTACTTATTTACTTCAATTTCTCTTGAAGCTGTAAAGTACGGGGAAAAGTAACATTGAATTGATTATGCTTCTAGCACAGACTAGAAACATGATGTCATACGACGTAGGTTCTACGTTGAAGTCATCATTTCGTAAATTCTATCGTCGATACAATGACCCTGTCGGCAAATACAATTTATCATTGAGACAAATGCTGACTGACGTTTGTCATTCGAATTAAAAGTCCATTTTTTATACACTGAATTGACGACGGATTTTTCCGTTATATCCCGATCATAACAAAGAGCACACGGCGGTTGTGACCGGTCGGGAGGGGATACTCACTCCTCCATGGCACCTTATCCCACCTCTGATGTTCCAGAGGTCTGTGTTTGCTCTGCTCCTATTTTGTTATATTTTATGGCCTATTTTATTGAATACTGGTCCTTATCCGTCCATTGATTATTTAGAAAATATAAATAGACTATATAATAATGTAATTAATGTTTGTACCAAGAAAAAAAAAATAGAATACATGTTACTTGTTCTATTATTTTTACTATAAATGAATTTAAATAAATATTTTAAAAGCACTACAATAAAACAGATCAAGCTTCTTTCGGAAAATAGTTTTCACTTGCGATATTAATACACTCATTGGTGTTTGCAATTGGTGTTTATTTCATTTTTTTTTTTCATGAAAAACACATCATTTAAAGATTTTTTTTATATATTCATTTGGTGTTAGGACAGCCATTGAAGATATCGACGAAATTTATGAATGGAAATCTTATATTTAAATGGAGCAATATTTCAACAAACCGCAATGATATAATCATCACTAATGATTCTCAATCCAGTTCCTGGATACAGGTTTATGACGACCAATACACAGTGGAAGATGCCATGCAATATAAGTCATTGGCGATTAAGGTACGGGAATATAGGGACACGGACTTTAGAAAAGGTCACGATGACTACGTAAAGACTTACAACGGTAAGATATTTTTATTATAAGAGAAGTATTCCATGCTGCACGGTACTTGAATCATTAATTACAGACTGAGTTGCCCACATATTTTTTGATCGTCATTTCCCAATCATACCTATGAGCATAGGACGGGTGTGACCAGTCATTAAGTACTCATCCGTGGCACCTGGCCTGGGGGCCATAAAACTGAAGGAGCTCATTTTTGATCTCATTCATACTTTTCCACTACATATTCCTTTGGAAAAAGAGAGACTGAGATCAGAAGTGAGCTTGTCTAAGTTTTATGGCCCCCAGGTCTGATCCCACCTCTGATGGTTTGGAGGTCCGTGTTTTAATCTTAAATGGACTTTTGAGTTGGAATACTGGTTGTTATCTCCGAATCTTTCATGTACTGTAGATTTCGAAGGAGATTAATTCTTTTAGAATTTATCTGAAAGAAGTATCCATCTCATGACTTAAAAATATCATGAAATATCACAATTGTGTGTTAGAAAGGTAAAACCATAATTTCTGTACAGAGAAAAAAGGTTTTTATCAAAAGAAGGGTTACAACATGGGTGAAGTAAAGCAAGCATTGATCAAATTGATCTTTTAATTTGCATGGATTAAAGGTACCAGTAATCCAATTTATTTCACACTGAATGAAGTACGGAGTATGAAAACAGTTACAAACGAGGTCGTGGCTTGTTGGCGAAGGACTCCTTTTTGGGAGTTGAACTATGTTCAGACTCCCTAGGTTGTCACGCGGTTTTTAGCGCATTAATTTTACAATGAATTATATAGCGGCTGTCGTGGTGTTCCTGTGTCGGCCAATTTACTCCCCTGTGATATTCAATACAAACTCGCACAGTCTATATAAACTCGAAGAAACTTCCGCAATAAAAATATTCCATCTAATTTTTCTGAATAAATCTAATTTTCATAAATGATTTGAAAGTAAATGAAAAAGAATTTTATTTAACTTAATTTGAATACCATATTTTTGTCATCTCTCTTGAGAAATGACACGTAAATTTTGATTTCCGTATAAAAAAAAGTCTCGTCATTTATCATTCGGCAATCCTCGGCTGACTCCACTACGTTCCATTACAAAAAGCGCGAGGTCATCAAAGGAGCAACAACTGGTCTAACTGGTTTGACAATGACGCGATTGTCTAAATATAGAGATGTAAACAAAGATATTAGGTCAAAGGAACGCTAAGGTTTAACCGAACTTCTTTCAATTTGATTCAGCAATAAAGAGACAAAACAACGTTACTTAAAAAAAACACTATGGAAAATATCACTGTCAGACATTTTTTTGCTCTGTCAAGTAAAATGATCTGTTAGACTGGAAAATTTTTGTCAGACCAGATACATGCAACTCATTTTTATACGTTGGTAAAGGGAAAAATAACAGCATTAAAATTTGTTGATAATCGATCTAACAATTTCAAATGGCATTAATTTTACATCCTTTATTTCATGCGTTTATCAGCATTTAGTTGCTCACGTGTACAACACCAAATCTGAACTTGAAAAAGTGTATGTACTTGCACTGCAGTATTACGTTATAAAATGTATCATTTGACTTTATTATATAATTAAAACAGTTAAAATTAATGAATACATGCGTATGCACGGACACAATGGTATGATAATCCCAATGATCGATCTGTGAGAGAGATCGTTCCTCCTGATTACAACTGTTTTTAGGACACCTAAGCCAAAGGCTCAAGTGAGCTTTTCTGATCGAAATAAAATTTTGTCCGTTGTCTGTCGTTGTCGTCGTTGTCGTTGTAAACTTTTCACATTTTAATCTTCTACTCAAGAACCACTGGGCCAATTTCAACCAAACTTTGTACAAAGTATCCTTGGGTAAAGGGGATTCAAGTTTGTTCAAATAAAGGGCCACGCCCTCTTCCAAGGGGAGATAATTATGAATTAGAAAAAAAAATTACTGGATTTTTCAAAAATCTTCTTCTCAAGAACCTCTGGGCCAGGAAAGATGAAATTCATGTGGAATCATCCTCAGGTAGTGTAGATTCAAGTTTGTTCAAATCATGACCCCCGTAGGTAGGGTGAGGCCAACATGGCCGATCAAAGTTTTACATAGGAATATATAGGAAAAATCTTTAAAAATCTTTTTCTCAAGAACCGCTGGGCCAGAAAAAATGAAACTTTTGTGGAATCATTGTCAGGTAGTGTAGATTTAATTTTTTTCAAATCATGACCCCCGGGGGTAGGGTGGGGCTAAAATGGTCGATCAAATTTTAATATAGGAATATATAGGAAAAATCTTTAAAAATCTTCTTCTCAAGAACCTCTGGGCCAGGAAAGATGAAACTCATGTTGAATCATACTCAGGTAGTGTAGATTCAAATTTGTTCAAATCATGACCCCGGGGGTAGGGTGGGGCCAAAATGGCCGATCAAAGTTTTACATTGAAATATACAGGAAAAATCTTTAAAAATCTTTTCAAGAACCACTGGGCTAGGAAAGGTGAAACTCATGTGGAATCATCCTCAGGTAGTGTTGATTCAAGTTTGTTCAAATCATGACCCCCGGGGCTAGGGTAGGGCCAAAATTGTCGATCAAATTTTAACATGGGAAAATATAGGAAAAATCTTTAAAAATCTTCTTCTCAAGAACCACTGGGCCAGGAAAGATGAAACTCATGTGGAATCATCCTCAGGTAGTGTAGATTCAAGTTTAATCAAATCATGACTTCCGGGGGTAGGGTGGGGCCAAAGTCGCCGATCAAAGTTTTACATAGGAATATATAGAAAAAATTTTCTCCTCAAGAACAATTGAGTCAGGAAAGATGAAGCTCCTTTGGAATCATCACCAGGTAGTGTATATTCAAGTTTGTTCAAATCATGACCCCCGGGGGTAGGGTGGGGCTGAATGGCCGATCAAAGGTTTACATAGGAATATATAGGGAAACCTTTTAAAATCTTCTTTTCAAGTACTTCAAAGCCATGCTTATGATATTTATAGGGAATCATCCTCAGGTAGTGTAGATACTAATTTCTTCAAATCATGACTCCCTGGGGGGTTAAAATTCAAGCCCCCTCCCCCCCCCAGTAAACTTTCAGTTCTTATCTAATATGTGCTTTTTCCTAGCCAATTCCTCAGGTGAGCGATGTGTCCCCTGGGCATCTTGTTTTTCTTGTAGTAGCTCGTTAAACTATGTCTGATTTTCATTACATTTGAATCAAATCAAAATCACAAATTTTAAGTGTCACTCGTTATTAAAACAAATTGCTCTAGAGATTCAAAGTAAGGTGTTAATTGATCCTTACGTCGCAGGTTAAAATCCTTTTGGATGCATTTGGAGATAAACTCTTTTGATGAGACCATATAAACCGAAATCCCATGTCGCAGTATGTGCTTGCACAAAACGATCCCTCACTACTCAATGGTTTTGAGTGCCGTGTATAGGTTAAAATTTGTAGACTTACATGTAGCTAGCTCCATCGACAAGTGGTAGTGTCTCAATATAAATGAAAAATTATCGAATGCAAAACAAACAAAATGTAAAGTATTCAGATACATACTTCTATATAGAAATTACTTGAAATGAAATTTAAAATTATAGAAAAACAAAAGGTATTGATTAAGTTATAAAGATAGATACATTTGATAAAATAGATAAGCACAGAGTTCTATAAAAAATAATTATTATGTCCGAAAAGAAACATGCATACCCAAAAGAGAATAGCAAATACTTATTTTAATCAGAAGTCAGAGGAAGAAAAATGACAATCTAGTGTCTGGTGATGGTAACATCGAATATAAAGAGTGTTTGTTTGTTTCTTTGTTTCTTGGGACCAAATATCTTGTACACAATCTAAAGGGAGTAGGGGGCGTTTTGATTCAAATGCTTCAGAAATATAAGGGTAGTGTTTGAGTTTCAGTAAGAAATGGTACTGAAAGAAGTCAGAAACCTACCCACAAAATAGTATTTTCGAGTTTGGAAAAATTATTTTTTTTTTGGTGGTGGCGGTTGTTTGTTTGCTTTGGTCAAATTGTTGAGGTAAGAATTAGAAAGAATAAATCCAGAACTTAACTTAACTGTTCGTGCGCAATAAATATACATAAGTTTTTTCAATGGATGGCCTGTAGCTCTCCGGTCTGTCAAAATCTTTTTTCGGACAGCTACAGTTCTGCAGCTAATTTAAGAACAGTCCCATGATCTTGGTTATTCAAATGCAATAGAAATTTTTTTTAATGTTTCGTGTTGTATCTCTAAGAAATCAGTCCTAGCTGACTTGAATCTGAAAGCATGAAACTGTTCCTATACTTCCTGTGAGATCTTTCAGATAACAATGTTCAACTCCCATGAGTACTTTCAGTACTTTGATTTCCATTGGCAATTCATTTTACCTCTAATTCAATCATTTTCATTCTCTCTTTCATTAAGTATTTGTAAATTTCAGAGAATGTGATTTCTTTAACTCCTAAAAAAAAATAGGAGGAAAACCTATTTTTTTTCATGATCAGGTATATGCAAGATATATAAAAAACATCTACAATTTTTAGGTTACAATAAATTATCTTATCTGCATATAATTATTATTTAATTTGCTGGTATATTTTGCAAATTTTTCTATTTCATCTACACAAGAAGGACATTATTAGATTTTGAAAACACCCAAAAAATCTTCTACAAAATTTTCTGCAAGACGTCGAGATTTGATGTAGTGTTTTCCACATCCCAAGTGACCTGTGACATCGAAGTACAATAACAATTATCAACCTTGAAGTGGCATATCAGATTCGTTTTAGGCAAACTTTGTTCTTTTTACATAAGCCTCTGAAAATGAAGTGGAAGTAGGAGAATTCAAGACTTCTAACTGTTGTTGTTTCACACAAAATAATTCTACTGATCTTTTAGATGAGTTAAAATTACCAATATCTTACAATTCAAGGGAACTTACTCCCTTTCAAGAATGGGACTCAGATTAGTACAGTATCATTTTTTTTAGCTCACCCAAGCTAAAAGCCCCAGTGAGCTTCTCTCATCACATTTTGTTCGGTGTCCGCCTGTCTGTCTAGCTGTTTGTTTGTTCCTCTGTAAACTTTTCACATTTTTTTCTTCTTCTCACGAACCACTATGCCAATTTCAACCGAATCTTTGAGTGAAGGAGATTCACGTTTATTTAAAATTAAGGGCCACACCATTATTTAGATAATTCAGTAATAGTCAAAGTTTGGTGGCATGTTTTAAATTTTTTTCTCTCGAGAACCCCTGTGCCATAAAGTGTAGACAATTTTTTTTCAAATCATGATTCCTGGGGGTTGGGCAGGTAATCAGTGGCTGCTCAATGCTTTACATAGAAACATATATAGGAAAAATCTTTAAAACATTCTTGTCAAGAATAGCAAAGCCAAGATAAGTAATGTTTATAGGAAACATCTTCAGGTTATGTAGGATCAAGTTTATTTAAATCATGACATCCAGGGATAGGTTGGGCCCACAAAAGAAAATGCAATTTTTACATAGAAATACATGTATATAGAAAAGTTCTTCAAAAATTGTCTTCTCAAGAATAGCAAAGCCATGATTAATCATAAGTATGTATGGAAGCATTTCTTAGGTAGTGTAGATTCGAGTTTGTTCATGTCAAGACCCATGGGGGTAGGGCGGGGCCACGATGATATTTAAAATGTAAAGGGCTATAAAGCCATAGGTAGTCAAAGAAATATGCAAGCATCCTAAGTCATGTTATTTCGGAGTAGATTCAATTGTGTTGAAATCATACCCTCTACCTTTTAAGGATAGGTGAGGACCACTTTTGGGTTAAAATTTTCCAATAATGAACTGATTTCTTTTTTTTTACTAGCCACAGTGCTCAGGTGAGGGATGTGGACCATGGGTCTCTTTTTGTCATTGAAGTCTGCAAATTATGGAACTAGCAATTTTTTTAACGGCACTACTTTCATCTACCGATTCTAAAAACAATTAGAGGGATAAACAAAAGTACTGCTTTGAATTTTGCATTCACTGACTGACCTGTACAAAACCATTTTTACTTATAAACCTGACCTGAAGTGAATAAAGGGCTTCAAATTTACCCCTAAATCTGTGATTTTCGAATATGGAGAATAAGTTGTTAAAATACTCCTCATATCTTTGATCGATTTTAGCTGAAGTGATTCATACCCATAGGTAGGTCTTTGTTTTCATGCTGAATTAACTACGGAATGTTCCATCTACCTGATCAATATGTAAAGTGCTCATGTTTAATTAAACCAGACAACAGAGTACCACCTCCTACGAAACTGATCCCATCACGTTTTCTTGTTTCTGTATGCCCCCTTCATGGAATAGTATTGTTCACAGATTTTTTAAAGCTCCATATTACTATCCGCAGTCTTCAATTTTTAAGAATTCGTCAAAGAGACCCGGAAAACTTATTACATAGTATTAGGGCCTTGGTTTTGGAACAATTGTTACCTATAATATATATTTGGTATGTCGCGGTCGAGGCTGAGATATATGACCTTCCAATCAAGAAGTGAGCTCTAATTAATTGTCTCAATAAATGTAAATGTTATATACAGTACTATCTTGTCAAGAAATGGCAATATACATGTATGTATAAGCGAAAAAAAAACCCTAACAGTAACAAACAAGAGATATTCGATTTTAGGAAAATTCAAAATTATTCCCGTATAAAAAAAAATTGCAAAGAGCATATAGCATCCTTCATGTCTAGTTAAAATGGGAATAACGAAAAATATTCAAACTAAGAAGTCCATGGAAGCAATACAGATCACCATAGAAAACAAAGATTCTTAAGCAGAAGAAGTGTGATCAGTGGCGGAGTAAGCATCGATCCCCTGACCACCGGTTACATAGACTTGTGCCACATACATGTATCATGATACAAAAATAACATAAGATTAGTAAATAATTCAATGTGGAAGTAATGACATTACAATTGGTATACAACTTTTTTCAGCGTTGGACTTAAATATAGATTGTATTTGCTCACATCGTGATTTTATCGACCACAAAACTTTAAACAAAACTGTTAATATTTTTTATATCTTCGAGTTGTTTGGCAATAGAAAGCGTCTTTATTCAACTGAGAGATATACACCCTATACACAGGTGATTAGGGTATATTTTGCTGCCAAAGCAAGCCTATAAAAGTTGACAAATGAAAAAGTGTAGCAATTAAGTCTATCATAAAATTATGTTGCGAAGTTACGTTTAACATTTTTTCTTATGAAATATCCAAATATAATCTGCATTTCTCAATTAAAATTCTGTTTATTTAAAAATGTTTTGTTGGCTATTGTTTAACATATTGTCTAACATGTTTGTGGTAGACTCAATTAGTTCAGGTGCATTTTGCAAGAATGTGTTTTTATGGTAAACATTCTTTTTGTGCAATTTCGTGGTAAATTAATCTAGTTCTGCTTCAACCATGAATACAATATTAAACTTTCTCATCCTTTTATTTCTCATTTTAGTCACAACAGTTATATCTAATGAAGGTAATTCCAAAAACATTTCATGGACAGCTGGATATTTTCCAATGAGTGGATTTTACTACATTTTTCATGAATATAATGGTTCAGTCTCACGAATTATAGAGATAGCTAATGCCAATCCACAACCCAATAAAAAGTATGCATACCATTCCAAACCTTTCAATTCTGTAAACATACTCTTTGAAGTCAGAGATATAACGACAGGAGATGCGGGATATTACGTAGGAAGTCCTACAGAGGCGGATGCTTGGGAAGGAGAACGAGGAGTTGTTCTTATTGTTTCTGGTAAAACCTGAAAAACTCAAAATATTTGATGAAATTATTTTGTGATTTTTTCTTAAATCAGTGACAAAGTATTTTTTATGTAGTAAATTTCAACAGTTTTGTTTTTTTGAATGCTTGCTACATAAATTAAGCATATTTTAGGCTCAAATTATTTTATTGACATTAGCAATAATTGAGATTAATACATTAGTAAATATATAATCGATCAGATGTTTTCTCATTCGTCTTACTATAAATTTTTGATTCTCTATTAAGGAAAACCACAAAAACCTATTATAAAAGAAAATCTAGATGTTAAGGTGGGAGATAACGCCTACCTGAAATGTGAAAGTAGATCTACGTCTGCTCCATACTATTACAAGAAATTCCCACCATTATCGTACTTATGGTTTGTCAACAACACCAGACTAGACAGAGAGGTTAGAGAGACATACAGCTTTATTGTGTCTAAGGAGGTTAAATACAACAAATACAGCTGTCAGGCGATAGAGACTCTAGAATCTGATAAAAGTGACGAAGTTCAGATTAACCCTTTATGTGAGTCATTATTCATATAAGATATTCTTCTGGAAGATTGAATTTAATTTAAAGGTAAATAACATGACATACCGAAAATGCTTTTAATAATTATACTTTTATTCATTCATTAGACAATTCATCTTATTTAAACCTGGTTATTGAAGCAGTGGGATTGGGATATTAATGAGATTGACAACTATCAGAAAAACGACAAGGGAAGTTCTAATTTTTTTTTTACAGATGGTCCAGAAACCGTACTTGTAACCCCGAAACCACCCAGTGACGAACTTAGTATTCATGAAGGGGACACATTTGGTCCATACACCTGTTCAGCTGACTGTAACCCACCCTGTACCGTGCAGTGGAAACTCAGAGATCCGTCAGGGGGTTTTAGAGACGCTACTTCCATTGGGACGTCTTCAGTTACTGTACCAGTACAAAGAGCGAATAGAAGTAATATGGCTTTGATTCGATGTGTAGTAAACGGTACCAAAGGCAAAGAAACATCAGCCATCAAGCTGAACATTCAGTGTAAGACTGTTTTAAAGCATTGTCTCGAAATATTTGAAACACAAAAAAAATACAGCGGAGGGAAAAATCAATACCAAGACACCCCTACAATACGCAATGAACCGAAATAAAATTGTGTCCAGTTTTGCTATATCATGGTTTAAATATAGAGTTCTTCTATATACTTTAAAAGAACAAAATAGATATTTTTTTGGATAAAGGTAATAATTACATTATCTTTATTACAAAATTTAAATGATTAACATTTATGAATACATAATCAAATATATGTCGTGAATCCCTTTTTAATCATTATTTGTCTTTGTTTACAACCCAGCGGTCACAAAATTACATTTTAAACTAGAGGTACTGTGAGCAATGAGCTCACTAAATGATACCCCCCGCCTCCATATAGTAACATGTATAATGGCAAAGTCCATGTTTTGCTGTGGCCGGGAAACCCAAAATATGTGTCGGATCTAAAAGTAAAATAGCAGGTGCACAATGGCAATATGTAATAAAGATTCAGTGAAAATTTCATCAAAATTCATTCAATGGTATGAGAGGAGTTTAGGATAAAAGATAGGTACCCCAAAACGTAACAGACAGACGGACGGACAGACGGACGGACGGACGGACAGACGTACAGACGTACAGACGGACGGAATTAACGATTACTATATACCCTCCCGCTTTTCAAGCGGGGGGTATAATAACAATTCAATTTTCATATTTCTTACGCACTTAGTTTTGTAGTTATCGGATACGGCATGATAATATGGTTAGTATTTATACCTGGCGTGGCGAAAATTACTTACCTAACATGTCGTACCAAATCACTACAACGCTACTTAACGATTATATCATTATGTCATCAATAGGGGTGGATTCGTTAGAAATTTAATATATAGTTGTCTAAATTTTGTAAATTTGTTTTATTACACTATATAATGTGTCTACATTGATTATATTTATATCACAATGTGATTCCTGTCCTCAATACAAAAGGACAATTTGAAACAAAAAAGCTTTAAAGAAGAAAAAGCTCTTAAGTGCCTGCTAGTTACAGAAGCTTATTACAATATGTAATATTTCCAATTTTAACAGACATCTGGCGGGTCACGTGTCTATTCATTAAAAAAGATTTAAAAAGCCACTTTTTTCTGGGTATTAAAGAAGAACATTCCGTAACAACCTTGAATAGAATTCAATTGACAGTGTATAGATATTACACCCCCTTCACATGACAGGCTTCAAACAAGAATAGCTTGATTTCATCACAGAATGACCAGAGGTGGGGTGAAATAATTCTCTTGACATTTTCGTTTCTGTTGCGGAATATCTAGCTTAACTTTTTTTAAACAAATACCTAATTTTTGAATTTCTTTTTATTAGATTTATCGGATCCAAAGGTATATATTAATGGCAATCTTAAAAATTCACTTACCGTTGATGAAGGATATCCTCTACTTTTGGCATGTAACATGGAGGGAAATCCAGTTCCAGTTACTATCCTAAAAGAACTTACTGGTAACGAGATCTTGGAACAACGTAGTAGCTGGATAAACCACACACTGAGAAGGGAAGCAGTGTGCTCTGACACAAACACATACATCTGCGAGGGAAGCTCTTCAGAGTTTGAAAGAAAATATCAATCATTCAATATCAATGTTCTTTGTAAGTAAACTTTACGGTTTTATACACATTCAAATTTAACATTTCAAAATATTTATTACAAATCTTAAGCCAAGGAAATAATACATGTATATTATTTTTATCATTTATTTCAAGCTCTCTAATTGGCTAAAACTTCATCATATGATTACGTATATAACAGCATATAGACTTGAGTTACTATTTATAGATTCTGAAATGCATAACGATTTGATATTCCATAAAATGGAGACAATTTTGTGTAAAACAAAAAAAATTTTTAGATAATAAATTGAATGACGTGATGTTTTTTTTTAAAAAAATATACTTCATCTTGTATTAATAATTTTTAATGTTCTGTAATTGATGAAACGTAACAGTGCCTCGAATTAGGATCTACTTTATAAAACATTTTGGATATGTTTGTCAAAAAATTAAATCAAAGTATAATCAATAAATGTAGCATTTTGAATAAGTAAATTATCAAAATTACTCCATCGATATAAACATGGTAAAGGAGACACAATTAGTATTTTGATTTCTAGGCTCCTAAGTGTTAAAGAGAGAAAACTTGTTCCTTCTTCCCATTATTTTCAAATTTTGTTTTGTCAATCTGTGCAAAAATTAATAAAACAAATGTAGCCCTTTAATTCGATCAATCCGTAGATATATCGACTTCACAGAAAAGCATATCGATCTTGCACTTCGTGCTCGTTCGATATGCTTTTCTGTGAAGTCGATATATCTATTGATCGACCTCATCAAGGGGGTAAATTTATATAATATAGATACAACTCATGCCACATGAATAAATATAAGATATTATTGCTTGTGTTATATAACTGTTTCAATAATCATATATGTTTCAATAAATTACACTTTTTTATGTGTCAGAACATTAAACGCAGCGAAATAAATATAATTGTCTTTGTTTGGTATCAATTTGAACTCTGAAGTTAAGGAACATCAATTTCATTCCACTTTTGCTTTTTTAATAAAATCATTAATGATTAAAAAAAAATAAAATATCCTTTTAAATATAGTAATTTGAAATTGGTATGGAGAATTTATGTTTGCTAAACTTCACCTACTCTAACAAATTATTTTGTGTCGATATGTTTTTTTTTGGGAGGATGGATGTTTATTCTATTACACCAAAAAGTTGTATCATCAAAATAAGTCTTAAAGTTGTGTTTACCTTAAGTCGACAATTGCAAGAATTTAATCTTTATATTTAATATAAAATGTGCATTTATGATAAAACCATGTTTAAAACGCCTGTTTATCAAAGAAGAGGGACATAGACGTTGACAATATGTAAATATTCATTTGTTATAGGTTATTTTTTCTATAACTTTTTTCTGTATATTTTCGATAAAATTTGAAACAGGCTTTAATCTCACAAATGTTTACTTTAATTTGCTTAATATACACTGTACTCACGTGGTATTTTAGGCGACCTTCGCCTTGATATGTCAGCTGTAGTAAAAACCAATTATGGTTCCATGAGTGGCTCAGATGTGAATGTTCCTGTTACTGTGCCAGTGATAGCAAACCCCCCGATTACTCCGTCAGGGATCACGTGGTCAGGTCCTTCAGCAGAATCTATATTGACGAATGTAGATTTACAAAGGGATACTTTTATATACAAACAAATGATTGTAAGCAGCATTCCCATTCCTGACCAGAGAGCCTTCGGAAACTACTCACTGATGTACAAAGGAAAGACGATCATCGATATAACAATAAATGCCGAAGGTTGTACTTCTGAAGTTTTTTCTAGTAATTAAGTTTTTTCAACAAAAAGTCTGTTTTTAGGCTAGACTCACATTAACGTCAAAATTAATATAAACTTCATTTTTAACGTACTTTTCAGATTAGTTACATTATTCATAAAATGAAGCGTTCTCATCAAATGCAGTTTGAAACAAGTTTATAGACATCCTTTAAAATTAATCATTTTAAATTAAAAAGTTAAAACAAAGTAA